AGGGAAAGAACCACAAGAAACATTAATAAGGCACACAATATTTATGTGGTTTGACTTAATCCTTGCACGCTTTGCATGCAAACTAAATCAAATGTACGGGTTTGTATTTTTAGGTGTTTAGTTTGAATAAAACAAGGGTAATATGTTGAATTCTTTTGAGATATGTGTCTCGTGTTTTTTGTGAGTGCATATAACTTGAAAAAGATCGTGTATTGTAGAGAAAAGAAGAGAGAAAGATGGATGAGAATCTTGAGAGAAAATCTTAAGAAATGTATTGAGTTATCATCTCTAGTAAGATGGGGGAGTGCGGCTCCACAGTTCAGCGAGAGAAATAGATAGAGAGAGATCCATAACCCCCTTCATCTTCTTTTCCCCTCCCCTTACTTTATATTAGATGAGAAATACTTCAAAGTCTTAAATAATTGCAAGTGAAGAAGAAGTTAAAACTCACACGTTGTCCAAGTCTTGAACCATCATACAATAAGATAAAATAGAGGAGATTGACAGATTGGAGCTCGAGTTGTAAGGTCTCTCGTTTGCAAAATTTCACGGCACAAATCTTATAAATATCTCACCTTTGCCAAACAAAACTATGATTGGTTCTTACAATTAGGTTTGGATTGTCATGGACCTTTTATGACTCATTAGTTTTAAGGCCCCGCCCATGTGGATTTGTATTGCCCATAGTGGCTCATTCAGATCATAAGAGATGTCCTATTGGGTAGATGATATACATAAGATTGAATATGATTTTAAAGTTGATTTTCTATGCATACATAACAAGCATAACTAAACATAACTTCCGTGCCACTTGACACTAAAACTTGAATAAAATAAAGTTCTTTATTTTAATGGGATAATAAAATTTTAAACTTGAAATTATAAAACATAAATTCTTTTCATTAGTCTTAAGAGATCTACATACCATTCATATCTTAGTCTGTAATAAGTCTGAGCGCCTTTGCTTTAGTCCACTTTGAATAAGTAGTTCACATCGACAAAGATGAATTTGTGTTGGCCTTTAGAAGGAGGAAACAATCAAGGGATGCCAGGACCCAATATGATGAATGACTAGGGACTGAAAATGGGCTACAGTTTTTTGGTCGGTTGATGCTGCAATGGAGCATACTTCTGCCATTGATCGGATCTTTCAGAAAACTCCTCTGCATCCATTATGAGGGTCGGTCAGAAGTAGGCTTATCACCAAATATGATGCACCAAAGTTTTCATCTAGAGTGACTGCCACATTTACCAGAGTGCACCTCCGGGAAGATCTTTTCCTCCTCATTTCCCTTGATGCATCTCAGAGAGAGTGAGGAGGCCAAATTTCAGAAAAGTCTCCCTTCAATCAAGATATGTTTTATAGCTTTGAATTTAAATTTTATTGGATTAATGATTTCCTCAGGAATCTTTCTGGTTTCTAGATATTGATTGTAGGAATCCATTCAACTCTTTGTATGTTTTACTTCTACCACCATGGCTTCAAGTTATTAAATGGTCGACTAGAGAAGCTTCTAAGGCGACCCTTCCCCGAAGAAAATATTCTTGGATAAAAGGCCAGCCACTTGATTTTCCTCCCAATCGACAACTTGATTTTGAAGTTCACAAACTGCTATACCTTCACCTTCCTCGTGTTTAAATACTTGGATACCATTTGTCTCTGACCTCTAACTCTCTATTGACTTGATTCACTACCATTTGAGAACATAATTTCATCATATTATGTCAGAAGCGCATTTTGTAGGCTAGACGCAGAGGAACTATCAATACTTCATATTCTGCTAGGTGCTTTGTGACATCAAACTCGAGGACGACCGAATTATTGAGATACTTTCTAGCTGGGTTGCTCAACGTCCGTCTGATTCCTTCTCTTGCCTGAATCGAGGCTCCATTGACGTGTAAGATCCAGTTTACTACGTCAGTCCTTCATCCTGTTTGCCTTGCTCAGAGAAGTTAGCCAAAAAGTATGCGACAACTTGGACTTTACGACAGTGATTACTCTTGTTGGAAAGCTATTAAACCACCTAAGGGATGAGTCCCTCAACATGGTGTAAAATAACAAATACTTCGGTGCATCAGAGATTTTGAAAAGACAGGCAATCGACTCAAAGGATGTGATATAGTTGGTCGGATCACTCCGACCCTTGTATGATTCTAATGAAGGAAGTTTGAATCTTTCTGGTGGTTCAACATTAGAGATTTGTAAAGAAAACACATTCTCCGGCGGGTGGTGGAGCTCAATATGCCCAAACCATTGTTTGATCAACAGTGTAGACCCAGCTCTATTCTGTTACCGGAAATCTTCAAATATCCTTTTTTGTCACTTAAGCTGCTTCGTGGCCTTGGGGTTTTGGTTCTTCTTCTTGTGAGTTCTACTCTTGAGGAGCTTGCTCTCTTCCCTCTGGGTCAATTCAGTCATATTACCCTGCATTTTGTCTCTAAGTTGTTGGATTTGTTACTGTAGGAAGTTCTCTATATACTCATTGTTTGAGGTATCTCTTAGATGAGTTTTTTCTCTGTAGCATACTCTTCTTGTTGATGACATGATCCATACTCACAACATCTTTTAGGATGTTGAATCCAGATATGTCTTGTTAATCGATCACATTCAAGGAATAGGGTGTAAGACCGATGGGTGAGACCAAGAAATAAAAAAAGAGATAGAGAGAGAAGTGCACATCAAACGAGTTTTGATAAACCTAATTCAGTAATCATTTATTGTAGAAATGACTGCCTATTTATAGATTTCAGATGCACCCCATATACAATTACATGTTTTCCCTTGTTTTAATGGGGTGTTGCAAGTTATTATGACATTTCAAATTCATACCCGCTTTTGGATACCTTTTCGTATTCATAGCCACTTTTGGTCTCCTTTTGTACTTATTCGCCATTTCTTGAATTGGGCATCTGATGACCCGACAACCTTATTGCTTGGTCAAATGGAAGCCTTTAATCAGTCGAAAGACGTTCGGTGGACTGAAAGGTCTTTCGTCAGCCGTAATAATGGAAAATTCTGAGAAGATGACAAACTGGCTATCAAGTATAGAGCCTACCACTGTAATATGATGGGAAGTTTGTCTTGGACTAGGAGCCTTCTCAGAGGGTCAGAGTAGCTTTCTTTGGGGGTCCATTTTGCTATTTGATGAGAGTTCCATAATCAACTGAAAGATTTAGTCATGGATAACTGTCCCTCGGATTTGGCTCCTTCTAATCCTTCGTTTGGTTGTGCTTCCGTTCTGCCACCTAGCTTAGTGTTTTGATGAAGGAAACAACGTTTGATATTTTTGTCTCATATATATATATATATGCTCCTAAATTTTAATATAAGCTAATGGGTTGAGTGAGAATTATCAAATTGAATTAGTGAGCTCATCGAAACTGATTCAGGGACCATTTATTAAGGCAACCAACTCGACTTAGTCATTACACCTCCATTTCCAACTTAATTTGTTGATAATTATTTCAAAATCATAATCAAGTAGCTATTTTAAAATTACTTCTACAAAAAAAAAAAATGTTTCTTTTATTATTTCAAGAGATTTTTTTTTTCTCATACATCTGCAAAAAACTCATGTTTGGCTAGTTCATGTTCAATTCATTTTTTAAGTAAATGAGCCAAACAAATTCAATTTTTTAGAGCAAATAAACTCAATTTATAAATGACCCGCAATCTTTTGTCGATATTATTCTAATATATCTTGGCTTGAAATAAATAAATAAATTTTTTTATTTATGAAATCATTCTCAACTGATTTTTTTGTTGAACACGAGCTAAAACAAGCAAAATAAAACTAAATCTAATTGTGCTTTTCACAAACCATTATAACACGTATCTATTTGAAGGAGGCAAAACATGTAGTCCCCTTAATCAAGAGAAAATATTACACTTTTCCTGACAAAATTTCAGAGGCACAGCCATGTTATATTTCCCCCGGCAAATCAAAACCTCACAAATATCAGCATTCAGAGGAGTAGCAGAGAAAGAAATTAGCAATCCGAATCTAAATTTAGATCCCTCGCCGTTGGACCACATGTCCAGTCTCCATAACCAGCTCACCCATCTCTTTGAGGAGCTCAGCGCCAAACGGCATTACTGTCTTCTCAGAGCTCCCCCAAATCCGCAGGCGTTCTAAATTCGGTAACTTTCCCTCCTATTTTCTCCCTTTTTTAGACACTTGTTCCAGTTGATTACTTCGATTTTCCTCAACAATCTCCCCCCATTTTCGCCGCCCGAAAGGTATATTTCTCTCATATTTTTTCCTCTCACGAACCCTAAAACTCCAACCATCACAAATCCCCACGCCAACCCCTGCGACACTTCCATCAACTCTTCCATTTGCTTGAAAAGATGTAAAAAAACACCTTTTTTTATATAAAAAAAAAGAGTTTTTTCTAACAAAAATTTCATTTTTCAAACTTAAAACTGAGAAAGCTGGCTCCTTTTTTTTTTGCAGGCATTCTCCTCGAGAGCAAGAGTTGTTTCCACTGAATCGCCCCAAGCAGGCAGAAACGCTACAGCTATTCGACGAAGGCCCGTCTTCGAAGATTCCTTCGCCACAGGAGGTTGCGCAGGTAACACCGAGATACAAAGGCGTAGTCCTCCAACAAAACGGCCATTGGGGAGCTCAGATTTACGTTCCCCATGGCCGCATATGGCTCGGAACCTTCAAATCCGAAGCGGCTGCAGCCAGAGCTTACGACAGCGCGGCCATCCGACTCCACCGCGGTGAATCCGATCGTAACTTGCCGTTAACAGACATCACTGTTCATGAACCCGATTTTCAGAAACTTTTCAGCACCGAAACCATTCTCAATATGATCAGAGATGGCTCCTATGAATCCAGACTCATCGAGTTCATCCGCACAAACCATGCCTCCAGCTCCAATGGAAGCGGGTCGGATGCACCCACCATGATTGATAACGGTATTACATTTACCGAAATGTTTCAGAAAGAGCTGACTCCAAGTGATGTTGGGAAGCTGAACAGATTGGTGATCCCTAAAAAGCATGCCACGCGTTACTTTCCCCCTGTTACACCCAACTGCGTGGAAGAACATTTGCTTGAGTTTCGAGATCGGATGAATCGGTTATGGGTGTTTCGATACTGTTACTGGAAGAGCAGTCAGAGTTTTGTATTTACCAGGGGTTGGAACAGATTTGTGAAAGAGATGGAGCTTCGTTCAAAGGACACGGTGGTGTTCTATTACTGCACTGAAATGGAAGGGATGAATAAAAAAACCTTTTTTATGATTGATGTCCTTCGTGGTGTTGGGAGAAGCGGGAGTGTGGAGGGTGAGAATCCCATGGAGGATGCAGAAGGGAATGAGAATTCTAACGAGTATGAGGAGGAGGAAGTGAAGTCGGGAAGCTTGATGGATAAGGAGGAGAGTGAAGGGACGCAGGAGATGAAGCTTTTTGGAGTGTGGATCAGGTGAAGGTGAAGTGGAAACAGACTGAATTTTGATGAAGATTCACATGGCCAACATATGTAACATGAAGTGGTATATGCATGCAGCCCCTCTTGGATTACTCTTCAAAAATTTTTTGATTGTTTTTTCTGAACTTTTGTGTGAGGAGAAAAATGGGTTTTTTCTCTTGGAATTACGGCTTCGTTTGAGAAGTCCTTGCACCTCCATTATTTTGCAATGAATGCTTGCAGGATAAAGGTTTTCATTTGCTGAAACAGTTTTCAGTAGATTTTTTTCGAATTTATTTCACAAGAACGATAGTTTTTTATCGTTTTATATCATAAGTGACCTTCTTCAGACGAGGCTTGGGCTATAGCGTACTTATGAATGTATTAAAGTTTTTGGATGATTCATGCAGAGTGCAAGCATGATAGTTGTGTGTTTGCAGATTGTTTTTTGGTTGGTGTGATTCAAATATTTCTTATAAGCTTTTTATTTATTTTGTGGGTGCAGATTTGTTTTAAGTTGTTGTGAGATATGTACTTCCTCGCATAGAAATAAAGCGCAAAAAACACAAGCAAAGACAGATCGTTTACGTGGTTCAATCCAACTGGATCTACGTCCACGAGAAAGAATCAATCAAATAGTTCACTAAGGCAAAAGAAATGAAGAATGCATAGCTTATACATAGAGATGAACCCTCATCTTTTTTCTATGGCCTCCCTCTCAAGCGACCCCTTGATACAAGGTTTCAAGATGCTCTCCTCCTCTCTAGCTCTCTAGCTATTCTCTCATTCTTTGTGGTAGCTTAAAATCTCTTCCCTTGCTCTCCTAAGCCTCACACCCTCTCTATTTATAGAAGTAAGAGAATGATAGGTGTGAGGTAGGTGAGCGGTAGGTGAGATGTGGTAGGTGAGCGGTACCACATTACAAAAGTGTCATTTTACTTTAGTTCAATAATTGGGGGTCAAAATAACAATTCTCCACCTTGACCCTCAATTGAGAAGCTTCGAAGTAAAGATTCCCTCCACCTCGCCCTTGAGGGGCCCTCAGACCTTGCTTGAGTTTGCTAAATCCAAACAGCAAATGGACTTAGCAATCACAGTTCTTCCGATAAGGGAGTACAACCCCTTTTTTCCTGACTCCTTCTATGACTGCACGAGGGCCTTTGGTTACTCTGATGCAGCCATTCTCTGCCTTGAACGAGCACTCGCTTGACTCCAGCGTACCTAAAGAAATCAGATTTATTTTGAGCTCTAGTACGTACCTGACATTTTTCAGTACTCGTTCAACTCCATCAAACATCCTTATCCTGATTGATCCACTTCCAACAACCCTGTGGGCTTTATTGTCTCCCAGTAGAACGAACTCATCATTTTCCTATTGTAGTGTCTGGAACCAATCTTTGTGAGGACACATGTGGAAAGAACACCCTGAGTTGAGGATCCACTCCTTATCCACTCCTTATCCACTCCTTATTGGATTTAGATTCTGTGATCACTAGGGCCTCAACAGAATCGTAGTCATCAGAGGCTACGCTTGCTTCTTCTGATTCTTCTGGCTTTTCTTAGTACTTATTCTTCTTGTCTGGGTAGTTCCTCTTGAAATGATCGTCCTTGTGACAATGATAACACTTAAAAGATCCCCTTGATGACTGATTCCCACCATCCTTACTTGACCTTGATCTGTACTGAGCATTTCTTGAATTTTTCCTGTCCGATCTTCCTCTGACAATAAGACTGTCTCCGCTGACTTTCTTGTCCCTATCATGCTTCCTCTGAAATTCTTTGGCTCTAATTAGAGATTGAACCTCCTCCAGAGTAATAGTCTGCACCCTTCCATAGAGCATCGCATCCTTGAAATGCTCGTAGCTCTTAGGAATAGAGTTTAACAACAACAGTGCCTTGTCCTCATCATACATCTTGACGTCGATGTTCTCGAGGTCGTCGATGATCTTGTTGAACTCGTCGATCTGCTCTGAGACGGATTTGTCTTCATGAATTTTGAAGGAGTATAGGCGCTGCTTCAGAAAGAGTCTATTAGCCAGAGACTTTGTCAGGTAGAGTACCTCAAATTTGGCCCATAGTACTTGAGCCGTTGTCTCCCTTGACACCTCCCTCAGAACTTTGTCGCCCAAGCTCAAGATTATCAAACTATGGGCATTGTCCAGTATGCCGATCTTCTCCTCTCGGTCATGTCTGTCGGGAATGCCACCGACCCTTGTAAGGCTTCTGCAACACCCTGTTGAACCAATAGAGCTCTCATCTTTCTCTCCATAGGCTGAAGTAGTTCTTCCCATTGAATTTCTCAATGTCAAATTTGGCGGAACTCACTGTCGTGGATAGGATTTCTTCCAAGGAAATCTACCTGCTGCCCGAAAATCTACCTCCTGCCCTACCAAGAACTAGGCTGAAATCACCAAAATGCTGTACTATTGTATAACAACCAAAAGTTTTCAGTCTAAACCTGTCTTTTAATGCCTTGCTGTCCAAGAAATTCTCAACAAATTGCTTACCTTCTCCCCGTGAACTCCACTGCCTTCGCCAACCAAACGGAGAGCTCCGATCCCTTCTCGCAGAGATCACACCTGTTCACCGGAGAAAACTTCCTGTTTTGTGCTTGCGCCTCCTTCCCACAGGCACTCCTCTGCGTCCAACAGAACAAATCAGGAATTTCTCCTCTGCCTCTGACACGAGAATAATTTTATCTCCAGAGCCGTCGCGCCTCGCCAAACTGCTCAGGTCCTCCTGCTTCGCGAACTCCCGAATAGGGAACTCCCCGAAACCTTCTATGCGCGATCTCCGCTTCTTCCCTATGGCCGAGCTGCTTACAAGACCGAACTCCTGCTTCGAAATCCTCTGCTGGCAGCCCTAGCTCGCGGACTGTTCCTCCTTCATCTCGTCGAACTGCGCAACCTGCGGTGCGAGTCCAGTCGATCAAAGCTTCCACTGCTCCCGGAATCTTTAGCGATTCGGCTTCCAGCGACGCGATCCGCTTGCTCCTCAATGAATGCCGAACTCCTCTTCTTCGTCGCTGGCCGCGAACACCTTTACGTGGACACCTCTAGCCAAGAAGTATGGATCTTCCCACAGACGGCGCCAATTGTTGTAAGATATGTACTTCCTCGCATATAAATGAAACACAAAGAACACAAGCAAACACATATCATTTACGTAGTTCAATCCAACTGGATCTACGTCCACGGGAGGAAATCAATCAAATAGTTTACTAAGGCAAAAGAAATGAAGAATACATAGCTTATACATAGAGATGAGCCCTCATCTTCCTTCAATGACCTCCCTCTCAAGCGACACCTTGATACAAGTCTCAAGATGCTCTCCTTCTCTCTAGATCTCTTCCATTGCTCTCCTAAGCCTCACACCCTCTCTATTTATAGAAGCAAGAGAGTGATATGTGGGAGGTAGGTGAGCGGTAGGTGAGCGATAGATGAGATGTGGTAGGTGAGCAGTACCGCATTACATAAGTGCCCTTTTACTTTAGTTCAATAATTGAGGGTCAAAATAACATAAGTCATATCTAGTTATTTTACTTATGTTTTAATTTAAAAAGAGGTTTTGATTCTATAGTATGAAATTAAATGTGGCTTATTTAAATATAATAAACTCGATAAATGTGTAGATTGTTAAACTGATTTTTTTTCTTTTTGTTTAAATGATAAATCTGACAAGAAACAATGAAAGAAAAGTTGGTTTAAAGAACGTGCAAATATTTAATTGCTAAAACAAATTTGTTTTAAACTTGGGAAAAAATTAATTATTAAAATTACCTTGATTTTATGTAAGCACTTTTTAAAAATTAACTTTAAATTTTCTAAATATTAAATGTTAAAATAGAATACTCAAAGAGACACTAACCCGCAGTGATGAAGACAATTAGAGACTATAAATATAATTTACATACGAGAAAATATGACATCTGATTACTCGAACGTGTTGATGACGGCATGTATCTCACCACGTTAACACAACAAATATTTTTTTTTTTTTGTATTTTGGTTGACGGAGTTTAAATCCAATTTATACTTCTCATATGCAGGAAAACTTTTGCCATCTTCCTAGCACCTTTTTTTAGGTCGCCCGCCCTATCTAGGGACCAAAACTTTATTGTCCCACTCATCTCAGATAAGCATGGAAGATAATTTTGTCCCAATCATTCTTTAAATGAATGTGGTGCACTCCCTTTAGGGATATGTTTGGGTTTGGCATTAAAATATAGGCACCTCATGGTTAGTGCGAGTTGCTTAACCAACCTTTCCAATGATTGGCTAAGGTCAATTTCAATTGATAGTTTTTTGATGTAAGCGAAGTCTTGTGCAACTCTTAAAGTTGATTGTTGGGTTATTATCCAGGTAAGGTGTAATTCCCTTAGTGTGGCCCATATCTAGCGCCAATAATCAGTGTAAAAGAGGCATTTACAATTCTCTTGCCCAGAAAAGGAAAAACCTTGAAGACTGACCCAGCTGAGGAGTTCTATAATAAAAAACGACAACAGTTGCAACCAATTGGCCACAGACGGGAAATGATTACTAGATTTTCCAAATAACAACATCTTTAATATTTTGTTAGGGTGTCAAATAGTACTTTGAATTATTCTAAGAAACTATAAGTACATTTGAGAAAATAGTATTTTCTTATTAGAAATTGTAAATATATTTAAGAAAAAAAAATTTTGGATTTTTTTTACATATTATTGATGCATGCTTGAATATTTGCAGCATTAGAGTAGAACATTATCATCTTAGGATGATATGAATGCTCAAGACACACTCAAAAAAGAGAATTAATTAATAGTGACACCAGAAGTTCTTACGTGGAAAACCCTGAAAGGGAAAAATCATGGGGACCGACCCAACTTAAGAGTACCACGATAAAATGATTATTATAGTTGCAAATACTTGTCCCATAGAATGAAAAGAGTTACTAGGTTTTCCAAGTTACAACACAACTAGCGGCGATTAATAGCCATTGGAGGCGTCCGGTCGGTGGTGGTCAATGGAGGTTAGCGTTGATCGACAGGAGTTGGTGGTTGATAGCAACATTAGTGCTCAACGATGGTTGGTGGTTGTCGATGGTGGTCGGGAGTGGTTGACAACGGTCGGCGGTGGTCGAGGCGGCAGGAGTAGTGCTGAACTATAGTTTCTTCTCAAAACTTCATGTTCTTTCTCAAGCCCTAAGCTCTCCTCCCTCGTCAAGAGAGATGTGGTGTTCTATTTATAGAATTAAGAGTTGAATTAAGGTAGAAATATGAGTTACTTTGAACAGACAGCTCAGAGGACTTTCCTTGATCGGTCATCATTTTATGAACATTGAGTAACTTAATGATGTCAGAATTGAGTAATCTTGGGTACGTTGGATTTTTCTTGTCAAGACACTCGCTTTTATTACAGACTCATCAGAATTGACATTTATTTGACCGTCCAGTTGTGTTCATAAAACTTTGAAATGATATTTAATGGTTTGATCTAGGCATGATTTGGTTCAAATTGGACCAATTTAGGTAACATTGAGTTATTCTTGTTCAACTGGTCAGTTTTGACTGTAATTTTGTTAAAATTAGAGTACTAGATGACTTTTTATCGAGTTTTGCATATTTCTTGATTCGTGTCATACCTCGAAATTCGTGTCTTATGATAAAATTTTGTTGTTGGCGCATCAATTATAAATTTCTTTTTTTTTTGAAAGATCAAAACTTTAAATTTCTTATAACTATTATATTTCAATAGATTTAGCTGTAAAAAATAGCTCTAAAAAAAAATCTTGGAAACCATAAGAGAGTTGTAGACGCTGGCCCAAAAAATAATCTTTTGCACATGTTTAAGAATGATAGGGCAGAAACGCATGTTTAATAAAAATTTTAATTAACATATTCATCAAAATAAAAATATTCTTCTGAAAGATTATGCAACATCAAATTGCATATATATATATATA